TGTGCAAGAATATGTAGAGAGAGATTCGATTTATCTTATTTTCCCTCCACCTAAACCCATGATAACGTTCCTAGAAATAGCTAAAAAAATTAGAAGGTATTCATTCGGTTTATACAGAATTTATTTAAGTTCGATTGTGTAGGAAGCTATAAGCTTATATACACACTATCGAATCCGTTCCTCGAACCAACCAGTACTAAACAATAAGTGTAAAGTTTAAACTTATGCGGTTAGTGATCATTAGATTCTTAGTCCGACGCGTTACCAAGTCAGCCATGCCGCCACATTATTATTTATTAAAGTTCAGTCAAAGAAGTAACCAAGTTTTAATAGAAATATTGTATTGTGACCAAGAATATAAATGAAAGATATAGGTCAATTGTAAATATAAGATTTATTTGAATATATGCTCGAGATTTGATATTTACAAGTAAAGAGAAGAAAACAAACGGAATTAAATACATTTTGTATATTGATAATAGCATATCAATTATGTTGGAAAAAACTTAACTTCATACATACATTTATTTAGCGAGAGATTTTAATGCACAAGCTTAAGGTATGTTACATTATATACCTAACAATGACATTTACAATATCACTCAGAAGTAAATAATTGTACAATTTGAAATAGCTTTGAAATAAAGATGGGTTTAAACAACAAAGACTTTGAGCGATATAATATACGTGTATATTACAAGTCCCTTTTTGAAATTTTGAACATGCAGTACGTATAGTTCAATCTTCCAATATAATACATACTTTTAATGGGAGATTGTAAAATGACAATCTTTGTGATTTTACATATTTAACGATTAATGATGCTAGCGTTGTGGATTATCTTACTGTTGCTTTTGTATTGATTCGTTCATTATTTATCTTAATGTTGATAGAGATGTTTTGTCTGATCATCTAGTGACATATGTAGACACTGTATTTATGTGAAAATATATAATTCTGGTAATACATAAAGATCTTCATATAATAAAATTATTTGTCACACACCCGTACCGATTTTGCGACTTCGTTAATATGGTATTGCACGGCCGTGCATATATTTTGATGTGACGTCATTAGCGTTATACAAACATAGTGTAAAGACGCGCTTAAAGTTAGCGTTATTCTATAGGCGCGTCAATGAAAAATGAATCTTTTTTCACTTTCAACGGTCTTCATTTTGGGTATGTGAAAAATAGAATATTAAATTCGTGTAAGTTCATTACTGAATTTATTGCACTCGTTAAATAAAGTAATATTATGCTCGCCAGAGGCTCGAAAAATATAATGTAATTCAACTCGTGCAAAAAATTCAGTATTGAACTTACACTCATTCAATATCCTCTATTTCTCATATAATTTGTTATGTTAAAATATTCTCAAATATTATTTACGAAAGGTCAAATATTTTAATACAATAGACAAGTGTTCAGCAGCTTTAAGACAGAATAATTCCACTGTAGGTTATACGTTTACCTTATGAAGTTACGAGTTAAGAACAATAATAGATAAGTTAGTCTGGTCGTGTATTGAATATTTATACGCTGACTTTTTGTAATAAAAATGCCTCGGAAGGCGTATTGTCTCATTACTTGTTTACTTGTTTTTATCAGAATTGACTTATGGAAATATATTTATGATTATATTTACTTCTTTGTATTCAAGTTCACGCGATTTTGTAAACATGCTCAATGTTTATGCGATTTTGTATATAAATATAATGTTAACGCGGTTTTGTACAATTGTTAAATGTTTACGCGGTTTTGTATAAATGTTTTTGTTTTGAAGTCACTGAGCTTTTCACTGTAACATCGGGGAGAAGACAAGGGGATGTTACAAGCACAATGATATTCAATTTATATATAATGAGTTGTTTCGCTTTCAGTCAATGATGCATTTTTGTGACAAATCAGTTGCGTGATATGAAATTAATTCTTTTCACAGATGAGGTTAAAACAATGATTTACTTACAATTACAATTTAATACCATGTCAGAACTTTGCAGCAATACGGCCATGCTATTATACAGTCAAGAACCAAAATAGTCATGGACGTATAATTGGTCATGTAATGAAATATGTTACAAATATACGGGGTTCATTTTTTGCACCCAAACTTATTTAGTCTGGAGCGTAAAAAACGGAAATGCAAGCAAAGAAATCTATATTTGCTATAAAATCTTGTTTTAATTCTGAAAGAGATCTGTTTTCTATAGATGAGCATTACATTTGTGTAAAATTATCAAATCATTTGGTTGAATAGTTTTTGAAATAAGATAGATCTACAAAGTACTAAAATATTTTCAGAATAGTATTTAGATAAACCATATATATCCAGGTTTTCTTTAACAAAAATGCATCGCTTTTGCAACAATAAGAAATACATAGTTTATATATTTTCCGTAACATTGTATAGTCATTATTTATCAATTTGTACCGTTTTTTTATCGCTATTTTAACGATACTGTGGAATTGTTCTAACTGATAATATTATTGGGTTTCTTTTTAATAAATTCATCATAAGGGTTCCCTTTTTAATTTAAAATGGCCCAAAAGCTGTTTGTGTTTACAAAATCATTACCCTCAGAATACCTGTTGGAAATTAAAGTTACCTTTTTCCTTCACATTGTACCAATATTCATTGGTATTTTACCCAATTCTCTCTATATTTTTTTAGACATTTAAATGTGTTCGATTGTTACATAATTAAAAAGATTTTTTTCTCAATAGTTTGAGTGACGTATTTCAAAATATTGACGTTTATATGTGATTGACGAAAAATATTTCGGATACAATATAAAACTATCTCAATTTCAAAAAGACTGCCCAATTCCTTTTTTAAACAAGAGCCATGTCAACATGGCCATACCCCGCCGAATGTGTTTGCTCATTGGAAGAATGTATATGTAGTAGAGCAGAATAATTCCATTTTAAGAGGTCTTTTAATAATGAAAACTGATGGCTATAGTGATTACAGATTTGAAACCTATGTGAATACTGATGGCTGAAAATAACAAAGGGCAATAACTGAAAAATAATGCAGGGTAGGTTATAATTCTTGTGTGCTGCATCACTCCTCAGTAAAATCTATCCACCTATGAAGTTTCAAGTTGATACCTCAAATACTTTTTGAGAAAAAAATTGAATTGAAAAATTAAGTATGAAAAATAACAAAGGGCAATAACTCAAAAATATAAAAGGTAGAGTTATCATTCTTGTGCACTGCACACCTCCTGAGTGAGATCTATGCACCTATGAAGTTTCATAATGATATCTCAAAGGCCTTTTGAGTTATGCTCTGGACAATAATTAATTTTGAAAAATAAAAAAGGGCAATAACTAAACAATAATGCAGGGTAGAGTTATCGTTCTTGTGCACTGCACTCTTCCTCAATGAGATTCATCCACCTATGAAGTTTCAAGTTGATACCTCAAATACATTTTGAGATAATCTCCGGACAAAATAGTATGAAAAAGAACAAAGGGCAATAACTCAAAAATTGTACGGGGAAGAGTTATCATTCTTGTGCACAGCATTCCTCCTCAATAAAATCTATCCACCTATGACATTTTATGTTGACATCTCAAACACTTTTGAGTTATGCTCCACTCGGGTGAAAAATTAGGTATGAAAAATAACAAAGGGCAATAACTCAAAAATTATGAAAGGTAGAGTTATCATTCTTGTGCACTGCACACCTTCTGAGTGAGATCTATGCACCTATGAAGTTTCATTTTGATATCTCAAAGGCTTTTTGAGTTATGCTCTTGACAAAAATTAATTTTGAAAAATAACAAAGGGCAATAACTCAAAAATAATGCAAGGTGGAGTTATCATTCTTGTGCAATGCATTCCTCCTCAATGAGATCCATCCACCTATGAAGTTTCATGTTGATACCTCAAATACTTTTTGAGATAAGCTCTGGACAAAATAGCATGAAAAAGAACAAAGGGCAATAACTCAAAAATTGTATAGGGAAGAGTTATTATTCTTGCGCACAACATTCCTCCTCAATAAGATCTATCCAACTATGACATTTCATGTTGATATCTCAAAAACTTTTTGAGTTTTGCTCCACTCAGGTGAAAAATTAAGTATGAAAAATAACAAAGGGCAATAACTCAAAAGTTATGAAAGGTAGAGTTATCATTATTGTGCACTGCACACCTCCTGAGTGAGATCTATGCAACTTAGAAGTTTCATGTTGATATCTCATAGGCTTTTGGAGTTATGCTCTGGACAAAAATCTATTTTGAAAAATAACAAAGGGCAATAACTCAAAAATTATGCAGGGTAGAGTTATCGTTCTTGTGCACTGCACTCCTCCTCAATGAGGTCTATCCACCTAGGAAGTTTCAAGTTGATAACTCAACTACTTTTAGAGATATGCTCCGGACAAAAATGTCGGACGGAAGGACGGAAGGTCGGACGGACGGACGAAGACTATTTCTATATCCCCGCCGTCTTTTCGGCGGGGGATAATAATAAACACTACCGATACATTCTAAAGTCTATTGACAGAAATTTCCATGAGATATCTTTTTATTGTTAACTTGAAATGTAAAATTCAACATGTTATGTATCTGTGCTGCGTGATTCGTAAATTGTTTTACGTTCTTCTTAAAAAGGTGTATTTAAATATTATTACCGCAGAAGCAATTACAGGTCAAGATCATACGCAAAAAGTAGATGGATGGGCAGATATTGTAATGATTTTTTTAACAATATGGGGACATTTAATTCAAATTAAGTCATGAAATCACAAACTAGTTGACAAGTATCCTTTTTTTAAAATATTCCTATTTACAGGAACAGACTGTTATAAAGTTATGAAAAATTTAATCTTAAAATATTAAAATACCAAAACAGATACAAAAAAAGAGTTAAGTTTGAATTTGAATCTGACCTCAGTAATGTGATGAAACAGAAACTTAAGCGTTGTGTATATATCTACTGATATAATCCTTGGATATAAGCTCTAAGCAAGTATTTCTGTTACCTTTTACAGTTAACCATTGCGTTTGCTATGTTTGTGTTCTTGTCACTGAACTTGCTGAAAAAACTCTCGAATGCAAATGAGGTAAGCTTTTTTCGTTTGTGTTTTATGTCAATTCACAGTATAAGTTCGGAATAATGTTAGAGCCATCGTTGTTTTACTTTATAATCTGGAGGGCGACAATGCGACCGTGCGATGACGATAATGCGATAATGTAATGGCGACAGTGTGATAATGCGATGACGACAATACAATAATGCGACAATGTGATGTGTGATGGTGACAATGCTATAATGCGATGGGACAGTGCGATAACGCAATGACGACAGTGCAATAAAGCGATGGCGAAAATACGATAGTGCGACAAAACTATAGTGCTGTCGCCATCGTCCTGGTGTAATCGCGTTGTCGCACTGTCGTCGTCAAGTTATCGCAATGTCGCATTGTCGTCATCTCATTGCCGACTATCGTCTTCCGCTACACATGCGCACATCCTATATCTGATTGGGCGTTTCTACAGTTCATTCGAATAAGCTGATCGTATAGAATATAGGAAACTAATTTCACATTTGTCAATAGATTTTTCATTCTTGATAAATATTTTCTTTATTTTTTTGTAAACTTAAAACGTCTAAATAAAATAATAAATAAATAAAAAGTTTTTTTTATATCAAGAGATAGGGGAAATACTTTTATAAAAATGTTACAAATTGTGTGAAGCTTTAAGAAAAGTTGACAGATTTCAGATAAAAAGGATGTTATGTTGACATTCAAAAGACGCAAAACATAATTAGATTGGTCAGTAGTACATAGAGGAAATTCGTGTTTTGTGTTGGGTTTTTTCCTTATAAATACAGGATTCATTTTTATCGAATCAAAATAATATTTTTTGGGGTTGCAGTATTATTATATACACTTTTCTCTTTTTCACATTACAATTTGAAAGACTTTCCCTTACATTTTGCATATTTGCTGAAGAAATTGCAATAAAAACCATCTAAGCAGTACCTTTTATATTTTAGTTGCTCAGCACTGGTTTAATTGGTTTGCGAGATGTAGAATCTGTTATATTTACAAATATTACAATATACTTAAGAAATTCACACCAAAATAACATATTTCTCTAGATTATTTATTGGTCATCAACCCCCCCCCCCCCATTTTTTATGAGGGCTCAAATAGTGAAATAAAATACCTGATTTAATCCCGAAACACTTGCATACGTTTGATAATTGTTGATCACTTTTCTCGGCGCCACCCCTATCGATAAGATACATTGGGTGCCAGAGAGGGGGGTGGGGCGTGCCTCTATTATATTCTATACTGTCAGCTTATTTGTCAGCAGTTTAGAACTGCACAAATAGATACACGATGTGTGCATTTGTACCGGAAAGCGAAAGTCGATTATGCGATACCGCGATGGCGCCAATACGATAGTGCGTTAACGGGATAAAAATAGTGCGGTATCATGATGGGGACAGTACGATACCGCAATGGCGACAACGCGATATCATTATCGCACTATCGCATTGTTGCCATCGCATTAACGCACTATTGTCATCACGTTATTGCATTGTCGCCATCACACTATCTCATTGTCGCACTATCGCATTGTCGTCATTGCACTATATTATTGTCGGCATCGCACTTTAGGACTGTCCAACTGTCGCCCTCTAGATTACAAAGTATAACCAAGATGACCCTAACGGTATTCCGTATATAAGTCATATGGCGACATTCCTGTTTTACTGGTAGATGAAGACCTCAGGTTCCCCCATGTGCATTATTTCAGACAAGAATAAGCACCTGAAAAAAGCCACCTTTTATATTTAGTTGCTCAGCAGTGATTTAATTGGTTTGCGAGATGTAAAATCTGTTATATTTACAGATATTACAATATACATAAGTTGTATCTTTCTCACAATGTCATGTAAAAATCCAAAGTCAAAGACTAGATTTCAAGTTTTCAACCCATTTCATTCATAAAAAAAAAAAAAAAAAACACATTTAAATTATAGAATTATACAGTGTATTTAATGAAATACTTAACATTTGCGGTCAATATATTCTGATACATCATTATCTGATCACTAGGAGACCAGAAATGTCGCTTGCAAAGGAACCCCTTCGAATGAAGTGGTTGCTAATGACAAGTTCACTATAATATAAAGTATTTATTTTCAAGTCAAACATGGTAAAATAAAAAATTTGCATTTTTAAAATAAGGTGTTTTCTTTTTATTATTTCTATGTTTTTGGAGGTAGTCTGTAACTTACTACTTGAAGCGCAAGGTAATATATCTATTTATCTTCAACAATGCATCTTCGCATATGCCATTTCGTTTCATAAAGGTTTCCGTTATTACTCTTTAAGGTTCAAGTACAGTTGACATCGATGGGACCAATTATTACAAGTAAGGAAAGGTTTCGCATTCTCTGGTACAACCCAACTGTACATTTAACTGTTAGTCATAAGGATGCGTTGCATTGTGGGTTTGAAAAGTGCAAATACAATAACTGTGATATGACTGTAAATACATCAGATGCAGATATCAGTCAGGCTATCATTTTTGATGGTCGTAGAATGCCAAAGAATGTTAGCTTCACTCGTCCAAATGGCCAGATATGGATTTTCGCAGCTCACGAATCTCCTATTTCATACGGCGACACAGGGACATGGTGGTATAGAAATAAAGAATACTCCTTCAACTGGACGATGACTTATGACAAAGATAATTCTGACATATATTTGCCATACGGAGAAATACTGAAACACAAATCAGAAGTAATACGGGATTACAAATCAATTTCTCAAAAGAAAAACAAAACACTCTTAATAATAGTTTCTCATTGTAATGTCAGGTCTAAACGTCAGGAATATGTAAATAAGTTAAAGAAATATGTTGACGTTGAAGTATTAGGAAACTGTGGGAAAAAGTGGACATGTGGTACTCACTACAAACACGACGAAGACTGCTTCAAACTTTTAAATACCACTTTTAAGTTTTACTTAGCCTTCGAAAATGCGTTTTGTCACCAGTATATAACAGAGAAGTTTTACGATAATTTCAATTATGATCTAATTATGTTGGTACGTGGTGGAAGCCCTGGCGAAACTAAACAAATATTTCCCGAGGGAACATTTTTATCAACCGATAAATTCGAATCCGTTGAAGATCTTGCACACTTTCTTAAACATATCAGTGTTGAAACGTATACCGCCTTTTTAAAGCGGAAAAGTCAATATTACTCAGCTGGGTATTTGTATGTATATCAAAGAGCTATGTGCAACTTATGTGAAAGGATGAATCATCAGAGCAAATATGCAAAAACAGTCACAGATATAAAGGAATGGGCATTTGGCCCTAAACCTTGCATTGATCCAAATGACGTGACAGATGTGCGATGAATGAACGTTAAACAGCAGTTTAAATTTTTATACTTAAGTGTGTGTTTATGATTATTTTATATGTCGACAATAAGGAAGCACCCATACCGTATAAGTACTTATTTCTGCGGGCTTAATATTCTGCGATTTTTGTTAAAATAAGGGGTTTTAAATTTCTGCGTATCTTATTTCTGCGGTGTTATCATTCTCGCATTGATGTTTTTTATTTCTGCCGTTTAATTTAGATATTTGTACAAAATTAACCGATACAAACAGACAATATTTCAAGATGTGTTGATGTAACATGTACATTACTTCCGGTAAACATGCAGACGACTTCTAATGTGTTTTACCGTAATAATCATGTATCGGTATATAAACATTAATAAACAAAGATTAACAACGTGCAATGACAACAATTAATTGTAATACTGCATGTGTATAAATATGAAGTGTGAAAAATAAACAATCATGGTAAAATCGCACGTAGAAACAAAATATTGAACAAATACAAAAGGGTATGTTTATTGCACCCATCAAACTATAATAGTTTAATTTTACAAAAAAAAAACAATCAAGCTAAGAGTGAGCGAAAATCATACAAACATTTATTTAAACAAAAAGAACAAGTAAAGTAACCTTTTTCTAATATTTTATCCATGACGGATACATAAAGAAAACTTCCCATCTACAAAACCGATAACGGTACATGGTAATGTAATTATACAATACCGGTAGTTGACATAACATAGACATAGTGAAAGGCTTAATTTTCTGTGGTTTTTAAATCTGCGGTGTCCTAAAGAACCGCAGAAATAAAGTTCCCGCAGAAAAAAGTACTTATACGGTATGTGTGAAAAGATAATTGTTCAAAGCAAGTATACAACAACTTTTACATGAAATAATTGAGCATTTGATTCTTATACATGTATTATTCAAAATTGCATGTAAGTTCACAAAGAACTATGTTTAATGTCAATTGAATATGTTTTTTATGTATTCATTTTCTGGCAACCTTCATTTTTTTTAAGAAATAATGAATATACACGTGATTGAAGAGTAAGTCACAAAATTGAAAGCTAAATTTAATGTTGCTGAAAAACATCTTTGCGTAAATGTTGCAATTTTTCAAAATTTGTAGAGAACTTTCTGCTTAGAACAATCTCATCTTAAACACATCTGCGGATGTTCAATATTTTTCCAGCTCATGCAAAATGTTGATTTCTTCTTAGACCGGTGCTAGCAGACGTGAAAGGTGTCTTGTATGTTCATGATTAGATCAATCAAGCCGTTCTGCAACATTTCCGATTGTGTCGTTGTGGGCGTTCTTTGGGGATTTCATTTTCTCTTGTTCATTTCCCAGATTTTGGTAGGTGAAACAAGTCAGTATAATCTTCTTAACTCTACAAATCTTCAAATTATACCTACAAGAACTTCTCTTTACGCTTATTCTTTTGTTCCTGCAACATTAAAATAATGGAATAAGTTACCACTCAATGTGAGAAATGCAAACTCATTAAACAACTGTAAGTCTCTCCTATATCAGGGAAGTTGCAAAAGCAATTCTTTATTCTATTACGGTGACAGAAAATATCAAGTACTTCACACGCGACTCCGGAGAAATTGCAGCTCTCTCAATCAACATTTATTTTTAAAGAATATTGTTCAATCGCCCCTTTGTCATTCTGGTGAAATTGAGTCAACCTACCACTATTTTTATGAATGTCAAAAGTTTGATAACATAAGACGTATTCTGTTTAATACAGTATCAAATATTATAGCTCCTTCATTAGAGATCAGAACGGAATCCAAATCAATTGAAGCAAATGAGATTATATTTTTCGCAGTCCATAGATATATCAAACTAAGTAAGAGGTTCGAAACATGATTTATTGAAACATCTTGTACTCATTATCACAGTCGTTTTTTTACCATTAATTTGTATTCTCCAGAACCAGCAAGTCAGTTCATAATGTGCTAGGATAACGTTATAATTATAACGTATTTCCCCCAATTTATTATATATGTCTGAATATGTATGTATGTATGAGAAAATCTTCTACGTGGCATAACATTGTTCGATGTTTGGAAAAAAAGCATATTCTTTAAAAACGCATTATTTAAGAAGCTGCGTTTACTGTTTCCAACATTGTTTAGGTCGTAAGCTCTTCATAGGAAGTGTGGAGGACTCCCATTTGTACAGACCATAAACATGTGAAAAGGCACCGCTTTGTAGGGGTGCACTCGGTAACAAGGGAAAATATTCAGACATAATGCATAAATTTTGAAAAACATAATATAAGGATAATCATTTTTTTTTTGGAACTGCGCCATTAAAACATATATACTAAGTTTAAAGTTATATCTTATATAGAGAGAAATAGAGTTATTTGCGAGAATTTGAATAATCTGTATCTAATGATAATGTCTGCAATGGCAATAAAATATGCGCATTTCATATCATCCTTATTATTGTGATATTATGACAATTTTCTGCGTTTGAATAGTTTATACAATGTGCTGTCTGATTATTATTTCCGGTAATTTACTTTATATTTAATATTTAGTCAAAAGGCAAGTAAGATATGCTTGAAGTCTTGTATAGGCTGTGAAATATATGTGGAGGGCGGTGTAAACAAGCTCCATGTGGTGAAGCTATTTGTGAAAAAAAGTGATTACAATTTTATTTTTCAGCATTTTATATTAAACAAATGTCTTAAAAATATTTGATTTGTATACCTGTATTTGCCTGTTTAATTTGGCTCAAAATCAATCTGTCAATCAAAATAATAACTAACAATTTTGCGGAACAGTGTGAACGATTGTGCGTTATCAACAACCAAAAAACGATTTCAGTTTCAATTTCAGTTATTTTATTTCATATGACATAATGATTAAAGATTAAAGTCACCAAATTAATTAATTAATTAGTAGATTTATAGCAGAATGTTGTGTGATATTTACATTATATATTTACTACTTCTTTTAAATTTCGTTGCAAATTCATAATGGCGGTAACCGGTAGTAATCAGTTAATATTGTCAGGACCCATGAACCAACGGTGATAATTGCTCATTGATATTTGAATAAGTTCATGAAATATCACTATAAGTGTAACATCTTTCACACCCTTAGATCATGAATTTAGTTTGCAACTCAAACATTATTAAATCTGATAGATGGAGTAAATAGTATACTGTTTAACGAGTAACAAGTAAACAACTCCAAAAAAGTAGCCGTTTAAAAGAACAATAAATGTTATAAAGCATAAGAGGCAAACTGCTGTAATTTTGACTTCCATTCAAGATATTAAATCACTATAACTGTCATTACTGTACAAATTGCAAAGATTGTACAGCTCTACTGCTAATAAGTACTTGTTCGGAAAGTGTAACAGAACACCAATGATAACAAGAAAAGAAATAACCGCCTACAGGGACTTTAATCACTTGGTTTGTATATGTCTCAATGTAATATGTCCCGTATCATTTGTGCAAAACCAAATTTTTTATAATAAATCGAATTTGTGTTTAAAAGGTGACATCATGTTTATTTAACGCCATTGAAATACGCGTTTAGATAAACAAAATGAAAACGTTTATAAAACATAGGCATTGGGGTAGGGACTTTTATTTAAAAAAACTTACGACACGAAAACGTTCAATGTAAATCAGCTTAAGAGACAGTTTCATAAATAGAATCCCAGCCTTGCAAATGCCTGAATAATATGCTGGCTACAGAACATCAAACACCTAAAATTAGCATGTACACTAATATTTACTAGAATTGGGAAAATCAGAACCACTAGAAAGAGCAGCATTCTTAAGGGGTGAAGGTCCTGTTTATTAATGATAACACATGAATGGCAGTTTTAAACAGACAGTCATGTGTAAATTTTTGTTGTTTTTTAACCATTTGCTTTATGTGTATACAGATGTTTAAGTACATCATCGACACTTCTAGCATTTCTGACATTACTTACTTCAGGTTTTCAGCAAAGTAATTACACTAAATTTGCTGAAGGTGATGTACCAGAACAATCGCCTTGACGAAAATGAAAATTGGCAAAATAAAATACACAAGGGGCCAATGCAAATTTTGACCCAAAGGCTTTATGTTTAAATAATCTTGAAACAGATTCACCAGAAAATATTTCAAGTCGAATATCTAAGCTCTAGCTTTCTCCTTTTCAATAACATTTTTTAGTTTTGTTTAATGTGTACAAAGAACCCCAAGGTTAAACTCATTTTGTCCATAGGACCATTAATTGAACAATATTTGTAGAGGTCCACAATGATTCAAGCTAAATATCTTAGTTCTAGCCTTTGAAGCTTCTGAGACTAATAATCATGATATTATACTATTATATAATGAAAATCTTTGCCCGGGGGAGGGGTAATTTTGACCGTAGGCCTAAATTTTGTACAACTCTGATAGAGGACCTATAGATAATATCATATACCAGATATCAAAGCTGGGGGCTTAGATGTTGTTTTGAAAAAACATTTTCACGACCCACACCTCACGACAACGGACGACGGACGGAGGGATAACGTTGTGCTCAGGTGAGATTAAAAAAATAGGATTTGTTAAATACAAAACTGATAATAGCGATCATATTGTTGTTTTGTTTTTTCACATTTCATGATCCGAAAAACAACGTAAGTAACCTATTATCTGTGTTATCTATTTAAAATACATATCAAAACAATCACAAATGGCAACCCATTTAATCGTTGGCGGTCATGTTAAGATTTCATTAAATAAATATGCATCAATTTATTTGAAAATTATCAACTTTATATCAATTAAATGTATCAATCACTTATTTGACATAAATATCTGAGGGTACATGATAAATTCGATTTTTCATGTGTTTTTCGATTTTTCAAAAGTTTACAAGATTGAAAACGTTATTGGTGGCCTCCTTACTTCTAAAAGATTAAATATTTTAAAAGCAGTGTAAAATAATTTATGGGAGGAAACATGGTTAAACAGAAATTAAATATCTGTGACACGTAACCATAAAATGAGAGAATTTAAAAATCGGAGAAATTTAAGATAAAAAGTTCGTTTCCGGAACACCTTTATATTAATTAAAATATTATTAATTATCTCATTTCTATAATAATTTACATGCGCGCTTGTACCGTCATCCTAATTCACTTAGGGGATGTATTAACTGTTTAAATTAAAAAATTTTTCCCTCGAAAGACGAGACGCTATTTCCGGGTTGCAACTAAAAACTTTCGAAAGGTAACGTCAATGTCAAAGGTCTCCTTTTCCCTTTCCGTTGATTTTGCAACCATTTTAAAAAACAAGTTTTAAACACTTTGCTATTTTTGTGCTTTTTTTTCCAGGAAAAGGTAATGTCGGCCTTATTTGATTTTAATTCTTACTTTGTAGTGATTAGTCCCCACATTTGCTAATTTGCTCAACCATAACGTTCCCTCCTAAAGTTAGGGTCACTTGAGGGTCATTCTTTGTGTTAAAGAAGTTGTTGGTCATTGTGACATGTAGATGTGTTGGTTTTATATTATTAATAAGGATTTGGATTGAGGAATTGGTATTTGTATGCTTTTATTCATCTTGTTTCTTAAAAGTTCTAATGTCAACTAAATGAAGACCTATAGTAATTAAATACAGTTGTGGATTTGATAAAAGTTATTTTGATAAATTTGTATTGTTCTTGAGTGTTAAAGAATTCAAGATGGCAGCATATGTTCTTATCTTATAGTTA